TGGTAAAAAATTTCACCCCTATCTCTTTTTGTACGATACAAGATTTCATTTTTTCTTTCCTCACCGTAACATCAAATATTTATTTTATGACTTTCTAAATCAGGTTAAAGAAAAAATTTTTCAAAAAGATAATCAAAAAAACGAATGATTTTGATAATGGCACCTTTTTTTTTTTATTGAATGGAGAAATTTTGACTAAAAAATATTTTTAAATTTTTTTTTTTTCTATCGAATGAGATAAATGTATATTATATATATATATATATTTTTTTTATAGAATCCTTCTAGGTGAATATGTGATAAAATATTAAGTGATACGATAAAATTTTAATAAAATACTTTTTTTTTTTTTTTTAGAAAAAATAAATACTTTTTGATGAGAAAAAAATTTTTTTTTTTTTTTTTAAAAAAAGGGATAAAAAAAATATGTACAAAGAAAATAAATAAATAATATTTAAAATAAAACGAAATGAAAAAAAAATGATATTAAAGAGATTAAAAATTAAAATTTTTTTTTTTTGTTTTTTCCCACCCCTTACGGTCTTACTTACTCCTTAATCTCATCTCCTACTATTTTTTTAATCTACAGGCTTTTTCCGAGATAATTTTCTCCCAATATACTAAAGACTCGTAAACTTTCGATTTTATCACCAACATGATTGATTAATTCATTACTTAATTCCCAATAAGCTTTTAACTTCCATCTCCACATGGCTTCTTTTGCTTGAATCTCAAATTCGTAACGAGGACGGGGATAATGTAAAGCCCATTCATACCAACTTTCGGATATCAAATGAATCTCTTGTAATTTAGTACAAGAGAATAATGGTATGATTACATCCAATAAAACGGATTGAGAAATATAATCTATATCTATCACCAAGGTTTGAAGGGATTTATGACAAAGGGAAAGAAGGGATTGGAGTCCCAAGTGGGTAAATGTAGAAGGATTTGTTTTACCAAGATATAAATATTCTATTTGAGCGGACGGATGTTGTTGCACGGAAGTGGTTGGTGACGGATGGGAAAGAATAAGGGAGCTATTCGGAGACGACGAAGAAGAATTATATACCATATCATCATCGTAATCGAAATCGGATAAATTGTCACCTAACAATTCATCACAGTAAGCGGAAAGGTCGTCATCGTTTGTCATTGTGAGGTGTTTGACAAAATCCGAGTCACTTAAGGCAACCCCTTCTAAATAAATTCTTGAAAGATTTTTACAATTTTTCAACAATTCAAGTATAGATAAACCAGTAATGTTATTCGTTGGATTCACTCCTTTATATCCGGCACTAAATTCGACCAAGGTATCCTTAGCGTAAGGAATAACGTATTGAAGTATTCCTTGATCGGTAAAGTTGACACCACTTAGGGAAATTTTTTGTAAACCCCCATGAATTCTTCTTTGTCTGTCCACAAAGGGAGCAAAGTTAGGTAAAAGCACGCCTAACAACTCATCGTTAAAGGCCGAATGATTGGAATCCAACGTTAATTCCTTTAATCCTTTCCAAACCAATAACTCGCTCGCTACCTGATTCCAAGTAATCTCTTTTCCTACATGACAAACGTGACAAAAACTCAATTTATCTTCAATCGAAACGGCGACCAACGGTGATGTGAAAAAATTTCGTACGATCTCCAAGGTTTTTAATAAACCTCCCGAGTTCATATATGATATGGATATCGGACATATGGTGATTCTTCGTACCAAGGATTTATAATCAAACATCAGTTCTTCTGACGGGGTTGATAATATGCTGAAGATTATTCGTTGCGAAGGTTCCCTCAAGTATAAATGTTTCCATATGTGGGGTATCGATGTTTTTGCGAATAACCGATTAACGAAGATTAATTGTGAACCTTTTAAGGTCGTTGATGTATTTTTTATGGAGAACCTGATGATATTTTCTATGATATCTTGAGGTAATTTGCTGAAAGGAAACGATCTTTTGGAATGTTTTGTTCGTATCATAGTTTTTCTTTTTTAAAAAAAAAAACGAGATAAAGATAACTTTAAATATCACTATTCTTAAAAGAGCTTGAATGCTTTTCGTTGAAATATATAATATTGAGGAAAAAAAAAAAAAAAAAATTTTTTTTTTCGTTATCAAAAATAGGTTGAGAAAAATTTTAAAAAAAATGAAAATGAAAAAAATCTTTCAGCAAAAAAAAAGTTGAGAGAGATATATATACACAAAATAAAAAAAACGCCCATTAAAAAAAAGAATAAAATAAAACTGTATAAATAAAATAAATGAATGGTTTTTTTTATTTTTTTTATATTAATAATGTTGTCAAAATATGTATCATTTTGTGTGTCAATGCATATCTTACCGACATCAAAATAATTTAATCTTTCAACCAAATAATAATTTATATTAATTAAATATTTAATTATTATATTTCCCAAATATATAGTGTGCACTCACTTTTTTATAAAACTCATTAACTGTATCCAGTAAAGCATTTTGTGAAATAAATGAGGGAGTGGCGCTCAAAATTCTGTGACAATTTGTTGAATCACTTTTTGAAAAATCTTTTTCTAAAACAAATCAATCAATAGACCTTTTTTTGTATAATAATAAGGATTCCCATTTTTCTTTGGAAAAAGAAAAAAGAGCTAATCAACGTTAAAATTGTTGCGCGTGTTCATTAGTAGAATTAACTTTTCATTTTCTTCATGCTATTTTAATAATAAAATACTTCTCTATGGAAGAAAATCTATTTAAAGAGCACAAATATATTTGGAAAACACAACATCCAAAGGCACAGTCAGATAAACAATAAATAACGGATAATATTTAATTAATATTCACCGAACATCATTAACATCTCTTTAGGGAACAACAATTACCAAACGTTATGTTGCGGCTGTAATTAAGAATTTGTAAGAAATTTAAGGAAGGAACATCGAAGGAATAATAAATCCTTTGATCTGTTGTTCACTTTGTTAACATAAAATACGGTAGCTCCGTTTTATTTTCAAAAGGTAAAGGGATACAATTAATTCTTAAAAAGCCAGTCATCTTCTTCTGTATGCTTTTTGAATAGTTTTCTTTAACTTCCGCAGCACCTTTTTTGATTGTAATGATCAAAAACGATGATTTTTTTTTAAACAAGGGAAAAAGAAAACAAATTTCCGAATAGCCACAAACTATTTGTAAAAGTAAAGTTCACGATTATATCAAAATGATTTAACTATATAAACACAAATCAAGTGCAACAACAATTTTCCTATTTATACACTGTAAAAGTTGTAATTCAAACGTTCTTCCAATTAAATTCAAACAAGTTTTTATATAAACACAAAAAATGATTACTTGTTTTTCGGAAAAATATAAGCGAAAACGTGAAGTTTTATTTATAATTCCCCTTTTCTTTTCCTTATCTTTCTTTATTTTTTTTCGATCGGGGTTAGGACCTTCGTGACCCATTTTAGGGGTTTATCATCTTTGCAATAGAAAATAGAAATGTTTTACACATTTTTTCTTTGTGCATTTCGAAGGAAAAATTCGTGTTTTGGCTTATGGGGATACAACCAAAGCATGACCCTTTTAAATCATATAAATATTTATGTTTCCTCCTCGAGATCGGGTCATGAGATCATTATCAATTATATCATTTTACATACCGACATCGAAATTTTAAAAAAAGAACAATGGAATTCTTTTTTTTTTCCCTTCAACAACATACATAATAATATATACATATACATATCACATATAGTAGGTCGAAAACTAGTGTAATCGATACTTTTACGCCCACATTTAATTTACTCACCTAATCAATTTCATGAAAAATGCTATCTATTTTTTCTCGTTTCCTTTTGGATTTTTTTCTATCATAACAAAGTGAATCGAAATTTCTATTGTTCAAAGTAAAATTGGAAGAGGGTTCAGGGGAAGTGATTATTTACTATTGTTATGTTATTCATTTTTTAACTAATTTATATCTATTCAACACTTGTTCGATCATTTTGACAATTTTTCGAATGAAATGGTTCAAACCTTTCCGAAAAAAATAATTAATAGAATATTCGAGCTGCAAATGTCATTGAACGATATTTCATTGTACCACATCAATTAATCAAACTCCGCATTGAATAATTTTATCACTTGGTTGTTATTTTGACATCTCACCTTCCAAATTAGGGTGTGCCTTAAAAGTACCTAGTTATCACAAATTTTTTTTTTTATTTTTAAAATGTTTAATAATTCCTTACCTCATTTTCTTTGCATCTACCTTATCAAGTAAACGTCTGGAGTCTTTTTTTGACATAAATATTGTCATCTATGTGGGGTAAAAAACGGGCTTTGATAGGTTATCATTGTGGAGATGAAAAAACTTTAATTTATTCTGCGGTCTAAAAAAAATTTATAATATAATCAGGAAATTTCTTGAAATTTTCTTGATGATCAAAAATGGCATGAATGTGAAAATATGATTATTTAATAAACATTATATATTTAAATCTGTTTGTTTTGAGATGAAAATTCTCGTTTTTTTTTTTTTTCCTCCCTTATAATCAACCTCCTGAAAAGGTTGTAGTAACACAATACATAGATTATAATTTTATGTTGTGTACAATAGTACTTCATATGGTTATGGAAGAAAGTTTTCATATTATAAAAAATGGTTTACATATAATGTATAATCATAATATTCCATTTTTTAAATGTTTTTAATTTAATTATTTTTTTTGATTATTATTATAATTTATCATGATTACTAATATAATTTTGTCAATCATATCTGATAGTAGTTAATTTATTTTATAATACATTTTATAAATGGAATATCAGTTTATACTGTATATATATATATATATACATGTTTACCTTATTAAAACATTTTATTATTTAATAATGATTAATAAATAAATAAAAATAAAAAGTGTAAAATAGAAATTGAAGAATATAGTGAAGAGTGATGGCTATGAATGTATGTACCCAACGACATAAAAAAAATAATTTCTAAAATCTAAAAATTATATCCTATAATTTGGATAGAGATTGTTTATTTTCAAATTCAGCCACCGAGCTTCTTTTACTAAACGGATGCTGCTTAATAATAATAATAACAATAATAATAATGATAAATTTGTTAAATTAATATAATAGAAATATTACAAGATAAAAAATATCACTCACCGAAACTTTGGAAACATCATCTCCTTTTCCTTTTCCTTCACGATGTTCTAATGGGATGTAAGATCTAACACTTTCCCCAACATAAACTTGTCTTGGACGCCAAATCTTTGACTCCTTATCTTCTAAAGATTCTTTCCAATGTGCTAACCATCCCGCAACACGTGGAATTGCTAATCAAAAATAAAAATAAAATAATGATGAATAATAAGGAAGGCTTCACAGTACAGTTAGAATTATGATATAAATACTTACCAAATAATACTGGGAACATATCTGTTGGGAATCCCATTGCTTTATAAATCAATCCAGAATAAAAGTCAACGTTAGGGTAAAGTTTTCTTTTTACAAAATATTCATCTTCCAGTGCTGCTTTCTCCAATTCAACTGCAACGTCAATAAGAGATTCACGTCCACAAACATCAAATACCTTTCGAACATAAAGTCAATTAAAATAAGTATTTGATACTTTTGAAAAAAAAAAGGACGAGAAAAAATTTTACCTCATAAGCAATATTTCTAATAATCTTTGCGCGGGGATCATAATTCTTGTATACTCTATGACCGAAACCAAATAATTTTCTTCTTCTTTGTTTTACTTCTTCCAAGAATCCTGGAACCTTATCAGCTGACCCAATTTCTTCCAACATTCTCAACACTGCTTCATTAGCTCCTCCGTGAAGTGGACCATATAAAGCAGCTGAAGCACCGGAAATTGCACTATACGGATCAACCAAAGAGGAGCCTATATGACGCATGGCTGCTGTTGAACAATTCAATTCGTGATCTAATTCAACGTTTCATAATAAATAAAAATGATTAGAAAAATGATATTAAAATTTAATTTACACCAACATAAAGTCTTACCTGCATGAAGAATAAATAAAACATCAAGAGCTTTGGATAATTTTGGGTTTGGTTTGTAGTTTTCTTCTGACAATCGGTCAAGCATATACAAGAAATTTTCTGTATATGAAAGATTATTTTGTGGAGGATTATATGAACTATAAATTATAAAGAGGAATTTTATTATAAAATTTACAATATAATACATTGATATACAATTAACCCGCAACTTACCGGCCAATACGATGACGATATGCCATACTAGAAGAATAAAGAGATCGTTTTTGTTATATGTGATATATATTAAACTTTTAAGTTTGACGCATAAAGTAAACTCGGAATTTATACTCACGCGGCCAAAGTTGGTGTTTTCCCTAAAAGTCTGAAGATTTGTTTATTTCGTACTTTATCATCACGAATAAACAGATCAGATCCCTAAATTTGGAGAAAATCAGATTTGCGATGCTATAAAATTTTAATAAAAAATAGTAATGATGAATTTAATCTTACAGCCAAAGCCGGATTAGCATCTGGATGAAAAGTACTCATAGCAGCAATACCACTAATGAACAATCCCATAGGATGCGCATCATAATTGAAATTACGCATCAATTGAGTGACATTAAAATGTACAAATGTATGATGCATAACTTCATGAGAAAAGTTCATAAATTGATCTTTTGACGGTAGTTCGCCATAAATCAAGAGATATGCGACTTCAAGGTATGTAGACTTTTCGGCGAGTTGTTCGATGGGATAACCCCTATACAAGGAGTGACGTTAGAAACCATATAATGATAAAAATTAAAAGGTAAAGTAATTTACCGATATCTTAAAACACCAGTATCGCCATTGATGTAAGTGATTTTGGACTGCGCGACCGCAGTGTTTTGAAACGCTAAAATCAGATAAATAATAAATAACGATTTAATTAAAATATCAATAAAAGATTAGAGTCAAAACAAAAAAAAAAAATTGCAAGGTATGTAATACCTGGATCGTATATTCTTTATTTATAATTGAATTCAAAGTGAGATAAATATATAAATTGCGATTTCAGTGAATTACTAAGTCAAAAGAAATATACCTTAATCCTTTACTACTCTCATCCTCTTCTCGAGATCCAGGAGCAGGATCCGCAGTAATCTCTTTGAATTTAATCGCGGATATGGTATTGTTGTCGATTGGAACTTCATAGAGTTTATTGGTACGATTATCCAAAACCGTAAGCGATTGAGTATTTGAACTATCAATATGTTCACACATAAGTCAGCGCGCGTGATAAAAAGTAAAGGTCAAAAACTTTCATATCACAAAAAGTTAGAACCTTCTTGGTAAAACAACTACAGCCGTGGGTTGTGCTGGAACATTGCCTAAACCTTTTTCTGGAGCTGGTAGAGACCACGTCGTGCCAGAAGACTTATCTGTCAAGACAAGTCCAGAACTCCTTCAGTGTAATAAAAAATAAAAATGAATTTTCATAAATAACTATAAAATTTGATAAATTTAAGAATATGAAACAGGTTAAGTATGCTTTCAACTTACTTTTCGGCTTTTTTACTAGATTCTGGTTCGTCTCTTTTAGCCATAATATTTGAAAAGAAGGATTTGAGAATAAATTGAATGCAAAATGCAAAATGAATTTAAAGCTTTTAATGTTATGATTTTTATGTGTGATAATCTTATGATGAAAAAAAAATGTCTGAATTGATAAAAGATAAGAAAATCAAAATAAGTTCCAAGATGATCGATCTATCACTGATCCGTTTCATGCGAGATAAAGCTAGAGTTTATATTTTATTAATAATAAATTATTACGAGACTTTAAATCACATGATTTAATTGATAATTAGGTGCCAATTAACTAAAAAAAACTATGAATTTTCCCAACTTCTTAATCTTCGATGGGATAGTTTCATTAACGCCATGTCATTGTCATTCAGTTAATGATTTTTTAGTCGAAAAAAAAAACCATTCAACACTTAACAACATAACCACCAATAAAATTTTTAAAATAAACGTGACAAACTAACTCGAGGTCGTTCCGAATTTTAGTTTTAGAATTTCGAACGAACAAAAGAAAAAAAAATTGTTAAAACCAAGGCTCCTAATAAATGTTAAATGCTCGTGTGACGGCATTTATATATTATTGTACAATCTCATTTTACAATTTACTAATTTTAATCAGTAATTGTTGAGATATATAATTATTACTAGGAAACGGGGACCGATCCTACTGCGGAGCGGAAGAATTCGTTTTATCGTTGAAAGAACACAACAATAAAAAACATACGATAGAAAGAAATTTTGACGGCATAAATTGCTCCAACGTGAAGATTATTAAGTCTAATTTTAGTACAATCACGTGTCAAAATACGAGTATGTTTATCGAATAGTATACTTATTTGGTAATATTGTGTTGTGATGAAATTAAGACCCTATCATTTAGTTACGAAAAAAGTAGAGAATCGGTTGACAAAACTAAAATTAGCTTGATCAATAATTCAAGACGGAAAAAGGTTGTTATGTTATTTGTAAGTTTTGATATTGAAGTTTGTTTTAATTGAATTGAATTGTCAAATCTTTTTGGTGACTAATCAATTCATTTTATTTAATTCAGATCGAAATAATAATTACAATCTTCTAATAATTTAATGGAATAACAGAAAGTTAATTTCAATTCATGTGCCGATCAAAATTTCTTTATAAAATGGCGTCCCCAACCTAAATCCTTTTCAATAGAGGTTTGGAACTAAAATCCTCAACCGCACTATAAAATTGGCAAAATTTCACGAATTCCCTAATCTAGCTTATTAATATAGTATTTTTTTCATGATATGATTGATAACTTGTTAAGTCCGGAGCAATCTTAACTAAAAAATTCACACTGGCATTTGCTTTATCGAGATTCTTTGTGCAATCGACTCGATCTTTCGGCTAGGAAACCATTGTTAAGGAACCAATCACGGAACGGCTCGAATTTCGAGCGGAACATTTTTGTGTTACCCAGAATAGACTAATTAGCAGCATCGACTCAATTATTGAGCGAGAATTATATAGTGATATTATAATTAAAAATTTATTTAATTTTAATAACTAGTTGTTTAAAAAATGAATAAAAAATAGTAAATTATAAAATTAAAAGTAATTAAATTAATTATACAATATTTTTACATTATGTATCTTAATAATTACTGTTTCAAATTTTAAATATTAAAGATTTAGATTGTATTAATAATATAAAAAAAATTTGAATTGGAAACTTTTGTCCATTCTCTGTAAAAAAGAATTAAAACTTAAATCATTTTTTATTAATATCATTTAATTGATATGTGAGATATATAGTGGTATATATCAAGTATACGCAAAAATTAGTAACCTTTGTGTCTAAATAATTAACATTCTTGCATTCCTTTTGGCTTTTGGGTCACAATTTATAATATGCATATGTACTACAAAAATTCTTTGATATAAATCTGATTAACACAAGACTTGATCTTATTAAAAATAAATATAACGAATAATAAAAATATGAGGTCTTGTCTATTTAGTATGCAAGAAAATCTTTATCTAATGGAATCCTGATTTGCTTAATGCTAAACAACATATATTATACTAATTATAGCCAATTCTGCGCCATTTTGCTGCGCCATGATATTCATGTATCGTTGTATAGAATCGACTTTTCTATTATTTCGGAGACGAAATGGAATCACCACGGTTAAATGACGATCGTGCGGAAACAATACGAGCAGACAACCCTCGACATGAAGTAATTCACCCAGAAGCTTCAAGATTAAGTGCATATAATAAGATGTATTCCCTATCACATGCTAGTACTTCAAGTTCACCGCACCTTCAACTTCCACGAACAACGGTTTTGCGGCGAACCGCTTCAAGTTTATCTTTTCAAGCTTCAGGTTTAGAAGAAGATAGTGATGATTTTGGCGAAACGTGTATAAATAAATCAATAATAGGTCATAATTTTCAAAATAACTGCGATTATGGTGATAAAAGTTATCATGACCAACACCATTCTCATGATAGTGAAAAGGAAAAGCATGGTCATATCCATTCACATAAAAATTATCATGAAAATGTACTTCATGAAGGACACTATCAAAGTTCTAATATTAAACATCTACCAACGTTATCATCTATATTTTCATCGTTGCCTCCTTCACAAAAGACTTTATTTACCTGGGGAACTGTACACCTTTTTCTAGGAATTCTGTTATGGCTAAAAGGCCAATGGGGTTGTGGATTAGGTATTTTACATTCTTTCGCTTTAATTATAAACGTAATATGAGTAACTAAAGAAATTAATGCCAGTATAGCTCTCACCGGATTTGCTTACCTCGTAATATTCGATGCTTTGGGCGTATTTACAACTTTTATTTCATCAGTTATTGCAACATATCGATCGTTAAGTGAATCTACTATACAGAATCCTTATGGGTATTAACCTTTCCATCTTATAAGGTGTTTATATTTTAAAATCAATTCTTTAACTTTTCTGTTATATCTTTAAGAGTTCAACGGTATGAAATATTATTTGGATTTACGAATACATTATACCTCTTATTTGTTGCTTTATATATGTTGAAAGAAGGATTAGAACATTTCATATTAGAAACAAGTGAGGAACATGTTGAAGATCACAGGTAATTTTTTCACTTAGATTTATTTGAATACTTTATATTCCTTAAGTTTTTTCTAAATTATTTATAGTCCAGATTTTCCAATGGTTTGGGTTTTATCGGCCTTAGTTGCAACCTTGGTTTCGGCTATCGGTTATCGTAACCACAGAGGATTTTCTGCATGTAGGAGTATACTAAATAAATTTTATTTTTTTTGGTTTAGATTTTTTGTTAACGGTATCATTTCGTTTGTAGTATCCCGATCAGCATCGTCAATGATAGGAACACATCCATCGCATTATTGGCAATCTAATGATGGATTTTCAATAATACTGTCTAATTTATTTACATTAGCAACATTACTTTGTGGTTTTAGCGTCATCTTGGTTGGAGTCCTTACAGAGCAAAAGTGAGGAAATTATATGAGAGAATTGTGAGACTATGTAAGAGGATTGATTTAAATTTATTAATATAATCTCAAATTCCTATCGATGTTTATAGTCATTCTTTGGGATGGCTAGATAAATTAGTATCGATATTGGAATCGATGCTAATGTTTTATCTTGCAGGTCCCGTTGCTACTGCATTAGGCAAAATCTTGTTACAGACTACACCGGATATAGCATTAAGAAGTTTAGAAGCGTGTTTACGAGAGGTATTTAGGAAGTTTGATTGAAAGTTACTATAAAATATATCTAATTAATGATTATTTTCAAAATAGATTCAACTTGATCCAATAATTTTATCGTTAACTGCAACGCATTTTTGGGCAAATTCATATGGACAATTGGTTGGCACGATATGTGTACAGGTTAAACCAGATGCTAATGAACAAACTGTGTTAGCATACGTTTATACTCGGTTAAGTCCGTTATTTGTACACAATGATGGAGGCTTTAGTGAGTTAACTGTTCAAATTGTAAAATAAAAATTTGACAAAAATGAAGATGTGTTATTGATTCTCTAAAATAATTTATTAAAGATGATTTTGGTATAAAATCATATATTAATATACATCTTTAATAAATAATATCAATTTGATGTTGATTAGATGATAGGCCAATTATTTTCTAAACTAATATTTCTAATATTATATATTATTTAATTAAAAATATATTAATTTAAATTGTTATATTAATATGTATAATTTATATTATATTTATTTAAAAAATTTTATTTACAATTTTTATTTTTTTTTTTTAAAAAAAAAATAAATAAAATAAAATTATGTATTAAAATTTATTATAAATTTAATATAATTTAATTATAATTATATAACCTTATAAAAATAGAATTGATATAGATTTAATTTTATAAAAGTAAATAAAATCAATTATTAACTTTAAATGATTAAATTTAATTAGCATTAGAAATTTAATTATAAAATAAATGTTAAAATTCATTAATTAGTTAAATTTAATTAAATTAAAATTTACAATTTTAAATTTATAATTTGTTAATAAAAAATCTTGATTTTATTAAAACCTGATTTTTCTTATATTAACCTATTTCACAATTTGATTTTTTAACTAAAATGATTAAAAAATTTTTATTAAATATTTATTAATAAAATTATAATTATAAATTTTTTTATAAAAATTATAACTAAAATAATTTAAAGAATTAATAATTATTTAAGTTAATATTAAATTTTAATTTATAGAAAATATATGATAAAATATTTATTAATTAATAATTAATATATATTAAATTTTTATTAATAATATTAATTGGATTATAATATAATAAATCTGATTTTTTTTATCTTATTAATATAATAATATATCATTTATTAATAATAAAAAAACTAAATGTTTTTAAATATTTACAATTAAAATGTAAAAAAGTTTATTATATTTATAATCAAAAAAAATTTTTTGTTTATTTATTTTTAATATTAGTAATATGTTCTTAAAAATTAAGATTAATAAACTAATATTATTATATTT